CCCAGCTCCAGGTCAAGCTGTTGTTCACCATCTTAGCAGTAGAGGGCACAGCGTCACTGGCCCGCATGTGGGATCCGAACCGGGGCCCTGCTACTCTGAGCTGGTATCCCAAGCCAGCTCTTAACCAATGCGCCACTCTGCTGGCCCAAGTTTAAATGTTTTTAACACACACATACCTACACACAATGGTAAAAGACAGGGAAAACTTGGGGAAATATTTGCCATATAGTTGATATCCTTAAAATATAAAAAGTTCCTACAAATCAATAAAAACTTTGAACACCTAATAGAAAAGTAACCAGAGGGCATGGCAATCAGTTCATAAAAGGAGAAATATAAATAACTTACCAGTCATTTATACATTAAAACATTCATTCAGTCAACAAATTGAGCATATACTATCAGTCAGACACTGATCTTAGCACAAAGGATACATCACTGGACAAAACAGACAAAAATCCTTGTTCTAGTAGAGCATACATATTAGTGTGGGTTAGAGGGAGACAGGTGAAATGAATAAAGGAATTAACTATAGTATGTCAAAAGGTAATAAATTCTCTCACATAAATCATGGAAGAACGATAAAGGAGGTTTTATATAGATTGGTTATTGAAGTTCTCACTGAGAAGTCACTTTTCAGCAAAGATGTGTAGGAAGTAAGGGTGCTGACCACGCAAATATCCTTGGGGAAAGCATTTCAGGCAGAGAGAACAGCAAGTGCAAAGGCCCTGAGGTGGGAGTGTGCTATTATGTTCTAATAAGAACAAAGAAACCAGAGTGTCTGAAATGGATAAGTGGAAAGAGAGTAGTAGGAGTTATCAGAAAGGTAACAGGGACAGAGAGGTTACTGTTCCTATAATGCCTCGAAAGCAATTATAGGAACTTTGATTTTGGTTTTTACTCTGAGATGAGAAACCACTGGAAATTTTGAGCAGAGTAATGACATGATTTGACTTATTTATTTTTTTTGGTCAAACCCAGCAGCCTTGTTGTTAAGAGCGCACGCTCTATCCACTGAGCCATCTGGGCAGCAGCTCAGCTCAAGGTGCCGAGTTCAGTCTTAGTTGCAGGCAGGCATAGCCCACCATTGAACAGGCAGTCTTATTGTTAAGAGCACGTGCTCTCAGCAGCTGAGACATCTTGCCACCTGTTGGCAGCTCAGCGGCAGCTCAGCTTGGGCGCAGCTCACTGGCCCATGTGGGAATCAAACCGGCTCCCCTGTTGCTCAGAGCTTGCACTCTTAAGCTAACTCTAAACCAACTGAGCCACTCGGCCAGCCCCCTTGACTTATATTTTTAAAGGACCCCCTTAGTTGCTCAGTAGAGAATAGACTATTAAGGCTTATGAAAATTCTAGCAAATGAAAGCAAGGTACATTTTTCACTCATGAGATTGGCAAGTATTTTTTA